CCCCCCCCGACTCCAGTGGGTTAGTGTCACCGACGTGACACGACATCGTCGGGCGAAACTGTTCAACACGTATCAAATCGCATGTCGCGGCAGTTTGATAACTTAAACACAACGCTTTATTAAAATAAAATGAAAATTTAGTCAAGCATTGGGATTGTCTATGATACGTTAGGCGTTAAGGGCAGGGCAATCTGTGCTTAAGCGTGAAATGCTTCACCTACTGCTCACTAGTCCCCCCCCCCTCTCTTTTCCGACAGTTTACCAGCAGCCGTCCCAACAGTTTCACGTGACTCGGGTAGGCGGCCGTTGTCCAGCCCCAGCCCACTGTAACTTGAATCATTGCGAGGGCGTTTGTGATTGGAGCTGACGTGTAGATTGGCCGACAGTGGGCACGCGGACCGGCCGCTGCCTCTGGGCCGGTGCTACACTGCACTGTCCCGTCCTACGGGTGTCCTGGGCCGATGCTGTTCAGACGCACACTACTCTGTCCAACGGATGTCGGCACGAGGTGTTCTCTTGAAGTGTCTTCTTGAGGTGACCTCTTGAGGTGTCCTCTTGAGGTGTCCTCATGGGGTGTCCTGTTGTCCGCAGGTGCCGTGCCCCCGCTGGGCGCCATGTGCGGGTCGCTGGCCGTGGCGCCGGCGCTGCAGCACCTGGGCCGCAAGCGCTCGCTGATGCTGGCCGCGCCCATCTTCGTCATGGGCTGGACCGTCATCGCCTTCGCCACCTCCTCGGCCGTGCTCATATGCGCGCGCATCACCTGCGGCTTCTGCGCCGGCCTCGTCACCCCATCCGCGCAGGTGTATGTGAGTGTCCAGAGAGTGTCCCGAGTACCTTGTCGTCGAGGACCCGGGACCTTGTCAGAGACCTCCCTGCCCGCAGGTGAGCGAGTGCGCGCACGCCAAGACGCGCGGTATGCTGGGCTCGCTGCCGGCGCTCTTCATGGCGGGCGGCGTGCTCATCTCGTACATCCTGGGCACGTGGCTCACCTGGCACCACCTGGCGCTCGCGTCCGCGCTCTTCCCCGCCCTCATGTTCCTCTGCCTGCTGCCGCTGCCCGAGTCACCCGCCTGGCTGCTGTCGCACGGCCGCGTGGACGAGGCCAAGGAGGCGCTGCGCTGGCTCAAGCGCACGGCAGACGTGGCCGCCATCGAACTCAACGTCGTGCAGAAGGCCGACGGCAAAGTCGCACCCTCCACTGTGGCAGGTAAGTTGGCGCAGGTCTCTGGGTTGTGGGGTCAAGCTACATAGTGTTTCTCACATCGAGCACGAGCAGGTGGCCAGGGCGAGCGTGAGCGCCGCCTGTCGGAGCTCACCGAGCGCTCCCCGCGGACGCCGCGCTCCGCGGCGCCCTCCACGGACGACGAGCTCGACACGCACGCCGATGAGGAGATCGCGGACATCGCCGCGGACGAGAGGAGGCGCTCCATCGTCATGAAGAGGCCCACGGAGGGCGACCTCTCCCTCAAGGTGCGCGATGCACGTCGCCGACAGCGCGATGGAGAAGGTGACGTCCACATTGTCTAACTTGCTCGTTTTCCCCGTTGCCCGCAGTCTTTCCTGCGCCGGCCGGTGCTGTATCCCTTCGGCCTGTGCCTCGCTCTGCTGGGTTTCCAGCAGGTGAGCGGCATCGACACGGTCATCTTCTACACCATCGAGATCTTCATGGCGGCCGGCGGCTCCATCAACGAGTACTTTGCGACGATCCTAATCGGCGTGGTGCAGCTGGTAGGTGTGGTGCCCGGTGCCCACGGGGTACTCGTGTGTAGCGAAACATGTCTTACAAAACTTAATAGCCTCGACAAAAAAAAGAGCACGCTCAGTACGAGGCGAGACTAGTCTTTTAGGTCCTAACACGAGGTCGAAAGGGAGAGGGCATATTTGACAGTGACGGATCTGCGCTCAAGATCGCTTACACGCCATACACGGTGTAATCCTATCCTAATTGTCTCCTCCCTCCAGGTCTGCACCATGCTGTCGGTGCTGGTGATCGACAAGACGGGGCGGCGGCCGCTGCTGCTCGTCTCGGGCGCCACCACGGCGCTGGCCATGGCCCTGGTGGGCGCCTACTTCCACCTGCACGAGCGCGGCCGCGCGGAGGGGCTGGGCCTGCTGCCCGTCGGCTCGCTAGTGCTCTTCATGGTTGGCTTCTCGCTGGGCTACGCCAACATCCCCTTCCTGCTGATGGGCGAGCTGCTGCCCGTGCGCCAGCGCAGCGTCCTCAGCTCGCTCGCCGGCTCCTTCAACCTGGGCACCATGTTCCTCGTCATCAAGACGTACCCGCAGCTCCGGCACGCCATGGGCACGGACGGCACCTTCTGGCTGTACTCCGCGCTCTGCCTCGCGTCCTGCCTGTTCGTCGCTCTGCTGCTGCCCGAGACCAAGGGCAAGACGCTGGACGAGATCGAGCACTACTTTGAGGGCAAGCACCAGCTCGCCAAGGAGAAGCGCAAGGCCAAGCTCGCCGCGGCCAACAGCGTCATCAACAAGGTGTAAGAAAGGGTTCGAGATCCACCCACATAGAATAGAGGTCAGGGGGATGTCGCAGGAGTTATTGAGACTGTGATAGTTCACATCAAATTGAAATACGCTTGAACCTCGTATGTAGTAGGTGGACTTCTATGAACTTCGATCGAAGTTCACGAACATTGATCACAAGTTAATGAATTTCGACTCTAAAACATGATATTCGACAGAAGTTCATGTGCCTGAACTAAAGTGCAGTGTGTACATTTTTCAAGCCATTTTCCTCTTGGATGAGACATGATAAGGTAAATGCAAATCTCAGCCCCCCCTTTTTTGCCGTAGCCCTTTATCTCCTGCCTCCCCTTGTGGGCAAAAACGAACGCATCATACCATGTCGTTGAATTGTGCTATTAAGTATTTGATACTCCTGCTCAACAATACCCACATGAGCTTTACAAAAAAGAGAGAGAAAAGTAACCTGTGATTGACCACGACCAGTACTGCTGAAACTTAACTGGCAGGTGAGAAACGAAATGTCACATGCCATAATGTCACGGTCACGATCTGTTTTCTTAAAAAATATAGTACCTGAAATGCAACTTATCTCAATTATTAGAGTGTTACAATGAAAATGAAACACCACGACAATTTCAGTGAAAGGCATGCCAGTATTTGACCTGTTGTTTGATTTTCAGTTCGCTTTTTGTGGTATTTTACACTCACACTCCCGGGATACACCTCCCTCCATCCTTACCCGTTGGAGTAAAGTGGGTTACATACTTACATGAAACATAACTTTAACATCCTACATCATACTAGACAGAGATCTAACTTGGGTAACAGGTGGGAGTGGGATAAAACCCCTAGGGATTGTGCAGGTATACTGTACCGCAAGGCACGCGTGACGGTGGGTTGCCTACGCGCTCGAGGCCATAAAAACTGAGCAGGGTTCATACCGGATCTGTATTTTCATTTTCCCTGACTTTTCCCTGATTTCCAGACGGAAAAAACCTGTTTTTCCCTGACATTTTTTAATTAA